GTAGTGATACTTAATAAAGTTACTCTAGGCAAAGCCCCAAACATGCGCCCAGACTTTACAGAGGCCGACCGAGAAATTCTGCAGACTGTAGACTAACTTTTGGTACAAAAATTTCAGCAAGCATTTTTTCATTTCAGTACCGTAAGAGGTGAGCTAACCATAAGCGGATGCGTAGTCTTGCTGCCGGATCCTTAATCTGACTGGCAGGGAAGGATGCAGGATGCTGACAGTAAAGAGAGGTCAGTCGCATCGTCTTATAGGCGGATTTCTTGGTTCTCACAACCGTTCTTAAATCTCATTACCTCTGTAATCATCTTGTTCCCAGTGTTGTTCGAAACATTTACCATTTGGTGTGATATGCAGTTGTTGTGTTAAAGAAGATCGGTAAGAAACTGTTCATCTTATCTGTCACTGTGTCTTTATTAGCACAAGCCAGTCACACTGCAAATTTTGTTAATAAACCAAGAATAATTATAACAGAAAAATTTCTCTTAAGTTGTCCGTTACATCCATAGTTCCAAAAACGGACACCGCATTTCCCCGTTGAATTTCGATAGACAGACGCTGGCGTAGAAATTCATGTGATCGAGGTTCACCAGTGTGCTGCTGCAGTCGCTTGCCGATTTCCTTCACTAGAGCGGATGCCGACTTGCCCCATGGTCCGAGTGTTTCGAAGGCTAACGGCGCGAAAATGTATCTACCATCGAGGTACGCGTACAGACTGGTCTTCCTGTCTTCGGCTTGGGCAGCGGCGGATCCCGCGGATGCCGAAGTGGACTTGATATGCGATGGGGCAACAGTGTCGACGCAAGTGACGTCCCAGGCTAAACACATGCCACGTTTCCAGGCGAACGTCGTGCACCCGTCCGGGCGACGATCGGACGTGTGGGATGTGCCGCGGGGCTCGAGCTTCGCTGGGATGCCCGCCGAAACTAATGATCGGCAGACAATACTGTTTAGCCCGCCATGGCGAGCGTGTCTACCTGCAGAGAAGGAGCATGACAGTCCGTGGTGACCATAAACGTCGACTGGTTTGCGGCATTTTGCACATGAGTGTGCTTCACAGATTACTGCGCCCAGCCTTAGACCAACTGAAATCTTTAATGTATCGTCATCGAGGAGGTTTCCAATGTGTGCCGAAGGCAGCGCATTTAACCAGATGCCGGCTTCCGGTTTAGATTGAGCAAGGAGACGAGCTCTGTTAATTTCATCGTCACGAAAAACGTCCAGCAATGTTGACAGTGACGCATTGCAGAGCGGTAGGTCCCATGATCTCTGAGACTTTTGGAAGTTGAGTTCGGGGGGATCTATCTGTCACTTCGCCAAACGTCCCGGTATGTGCCCAAATTTTTTATTGAACATATGTACCGTAAAGCGCTATTATTTTGTCAATTATCAACGAATTGTCGGTGACTCAACTCCTAGTAAAGGTCATCCGTGTCCAGTAACAAATGGTTAAAAATATAAAATAGGTGTACAAGTACATTATTTAACTGTATGAATTTTAACCTAATTTCAGGCCAACACTACATGGGACTGATTGATTAGCCAACAGTTGCGGAAAACATGTTTGCTGTACAGAAATACGAAACGTTCAGCAGAGCTGTTATAGTACTGGACAACACAACGACAAACTACTGTACTTATTGCGTCACAAAGGCATGTCCAGAACGGCCACTTAAAAAACAACAGACAGTTTTACGATTACAATTTTCATGAAACAGCACTGACCATAACCATGAGTATTAGAAAAAAGTTGAATTTAGTAAAACTTATGTATGTATCTGTACATGTATGAAAAAACCGCAAACAGTCTTAAATTATAGCCTTCAAAATCTGCAGAAATCGTATCTGGTAGTGCCTTCGGTGTACAAGCAGCTAGTTTCCAGAGACCGCACAGAAGGGTCAGTATATGGCCTCGTACAGTGTCGCAGTGCGGGCAGCCGACCCGGTCACCACGTACCGACCATCGGCGGCCACATCGCAGCTCAGCAGCGATGCCGGTTCTTTAACCATAAAAGGATTGAATCCCTGCGGATTCGTCCAGATGTTCAGCTGACTATCCTTCCCCGTGGAGACGAACCAGTTGCCCGACTGGGCGTACTTCAAAGCCAACACGCAGGATTCATGCTGCTCCAGTCGGTATCTATCCTGGTTGGACGTGCTAACCCTTCCACCGTGGAGTTTTCCATGCCCACCGCCACCCACTCGCCGGTCGGGCAGCAGCCGAGACTGAAGATCTGCGACGGGAAATCAAGCTGCTTCTTTTGCTGGTTGTTGCGGATATCCCACGAGCGGACTGTATTATCTAAACCACCCGTCCACAGTGTCAGTCCATCGCTGTAACCGGTGCAAATCGAAGTTAACCATCGTGTTCGTATTATCTTGCTGACGTAATATTTACTGCAGCTGCTGCACTGTGGTCCAGAGCGCTGATTATAATTTAAAGATTTCTGTCAAAAATTGCAGCGTTAGTAAAGGTTGGGAAAAACTTGGGCCTGTAGTGCTCCACAATTTTGTTAACCATTTGATCAAAAAAATATTACACGAATCACGATAAGAAATCCCTTCTTGTCTTTGTATTTACCTGGAAATGTCAATACAGCTGGCCCCATCGGAATGTCCACAGTACTGCAAGATGACCTTCTGGTTGTGCAGATCCCACACGATGATATTCCCATTCGAGCAGCATGAATAGCACAGCTTGCCGTCCTGGGAGAGTGCAAGCGCGTAGCACGCCGGTGCCTGACTGAAGAGCTGACCTTTAATCTGCACCAAATGCCACGTTCCATTAATACATACTGCAAAATAATGCGAACCGCGAGCGTGGTATGTAAAGGCAGCTGATTTTCTTACCCGGGAAAACCACCGCCGGTTAAATCCCAGATGCACAGCTTCGTTGTTTCCCCACCGACAACCAGCGCACTGCCATGCATCCGACGTCAGCTTACAAGAGCGAATGTAGACAGTCCGGTCGAAACACTCAAGGAGTCCGTAGCATGTGGGTGGCCGAAAGTCAGTGGGTGCACTGGCCGTCCCGTTGGGAAAGACGTCCCACATTTTCACCGTGCCCTTTCCGCCGGTGAACACGTACCGCGTCGGATTGCTAATGGCCACCGCGCACACCACATCACCATGGGGAGAGAGGTCCCCTCCTGTAACTCGCGCGGTGTGCTGGACTGCGGCGACGTCTGGGCTGGGACAGTTGAACTGTCTACAATCATAAAAGAATCGAATAGCTGACCCGCCAATTTACCGCCATTGTGGTCGGATAGCACGTTGTCTGTCCGTCACGAAGTCGACCTAGTCTTTTTCTAATCCGTCTTAACTTCTTAGTTATTATTAAGTTTTCTTAGCTTTCTCGGTTTTCTTAAGTTTTCTGAGATCTGCCGTTTTTAAGACCGAAAACAACGGGTAATTATTCTTGTCCCGTCTTTAAATTTGCCTTGGCCAAGTGCCCAAAATTTCATATCTGCAAACTTTCGTTTTACAACCAAAGGTCATTCGCTGCTAGTCTGAAAGTGCGCAGTCTCCAATTGTTTGCAGTTGTGCACTTACCGATCACTTCAAACTGAGCATCTGCCTCGGCCTGATTTGAAGTCTCAGGCTGATTTGAAGGCCCGCCCAGGCCCAAGATACCCTGCACTCCCTAAATTCAAGCAGGGATGGGTACTTTAAAGTTGACCTAAAATTTTGCACAGAACTGTACCTGACAGACATATTCCAATAAGTCCATTACAGCTCATGCGTGTCTGACAGGAATGTGAATAGTTAGTGGCAATCGTGTAAAAACGTTTTAATCAGGACGATTGTTAAAACAACCGACTGGTAATTCGATGGTGCGGTATTCAAAGCATAATCAGATACATACTACAGAGTACTACTCCAACTCACTGCCCATTTCTGCCGAATAAACCTTCGACAGCTCACTCGTTCAGGGTGAGCTAAGCGGATTCATGGTCCCGTTGCGTGTGCCAGGTTGTGTCGATGCTGGCAAATGCTGACAAAAGAGGTCAGTCCCATCGTTGTAAGAGGATTTAACAAGATAAACTGATTCGTAACATCTTTCTCATATTCTGGGCGCTTCTGGAGCTTACAGAAAACCACGCACGTGCAATACAATAATGTGTGTCTCACTGCCTCGAATCTGAAAGCGCCGCAGCAGTAAGACCGCTAGTATTAAAGCACTCTAACTACAAAATACTGCAAAAACAGTACGAGTACCACAATATAAAATATACGGTACGAGCAGAGTGTTCGTATGGTACAGCTAAAACAGTTACTGGAGCTCTGAATCGCTGTTGGCTGTATTTGTTCTTGCGAATTCTAACTCTTTGCAGCCAGAAAAAAATCTTGTCAGTAAACTATAAATTACCGTAAACAACCGCAAACACGCCATTGCGGCGGATAGGTAGGTATTTCCTTTATTAAATACCTCTGATAACTCCAAACACTGAGAAAGAAATATTTCAAAGAACAACCGACACGAAAATGCAGATGATACTAAAATTCACGTAAATAATATGCAGATAAGCGTAACAAAAATATACAATATGCGATACACAGTATCACGCACACATGAATGTATTTAATCAAAAGTTAACCAGTAGGAGCACATTGTGTGCACATAATACTGCCGCGTTCCAACCGACAGCCGCACTGACGCTTTCATTCGCGGATAGAAAACAATTTAAAAATTCGTAAAACCATATACCAAATGCGATCGTTCACTGTTCGACACTGGGTGTAAACTGTTTCGGTTTCGAATTCGTGTGGAATAATCCATCCGGCATGGATCAGTCATCCATTTTGGAATACTAAGTAACATCGTTACGAGAATGGCTCAGAAGGCTTTGATTGGTTGATTAACGGGACTACGGGTACTTTTCATCGACTTTCAGGATGTTGACCGGGGTTGTAGTTACACCCAACTTTTAGTGATGACAACAAAAAGATGCGGCTGCTGCTCTGGTATGGCCTGCATGACACTGGGTCCAAAGCGGGCCAAGGCTTGATTGGAAAAGTCGCACGGTGGGAAGAAGTGAATTACATATTGTATCTGCAAGGAAATTCTTATAGGTAATGTTCATCGTCTACACTATTTGGCACTAGAACTCGAGAGTGTTTTATTACGTACCGGGCTATTCGGACCGTGCAGGGCAACGTTAACAATTCCAGCTGCCTGTTTTCCTGTGAAATAGTTCACAAATCCATTGCGTAACATATCGCCCTCATGAGCCTGTTCAGCAGCCGACTTTCCGGTGGCACAAGCCACTAATACACAGTGCGCGTCGGTATCCTGTGAAGCAAATGCAAACGATGCATTTCAGCCGATGAAGCGAATCCGCTAAAACAAAAACTATCACATAATGCAACATACGTTCATTTGAGAGGAGACACGATGAAGTTGGGCCTGCTCCAGGGGCATACGCTGCGATATCTTCAGCACATTGTGAGTGGGATCAGGAAAACCAGGAAGCGACAGTCGCGATAATTCCTGATTTCCGGAAATGATGTGCATGCGAACCAGGGCGTGATCGTTCTTGAGCGCTAACTGTCCCTGCCAAACTACGGGGAAGGAATTCTGCAATAACGCCATCGTTAGAAACCAACGCACACCGTGATTATGGTTGTAGTGTTCTTACCACTGTTGACATCGATGGTCCCGGCTGCATGGCCATTCCAGATGGCCCCTGGTTGGACTGCTGTTGCCAACCAGCGTTCGAGATCCTCTCGAGCTGCCGCAGCTGCTCCCACTCCTCTTCGTAACTCTGGCGACTGCTCCCAGCAGCGGGTTGAGATGATGCAGCAGCAGACCGAGGCTGAACAGTGGAAGATACATTCGCCCTGGGCTGATTCGGAGGTTCGTTCAGGATAAGACCTTGCACTCCCTAAAAAGCATAAACTATATGTACGTTCAAGCAAGTACGGGCGCTTAGTCCAAGTAACCTGGAAGTTTGACAAAGAACCTAGTAATATCACATATGTATGTAAGCGATATAACTGATCGTTTTACCTGACAAACATATTCAACCCCTGACTAACATAGTCCATTCCAGTGACAAGGTCCATCGTTGCGTATAAGTTATACGTGACGGTAGGAGCGTGCGGGTGTCGTCGAAATACAGTAGCGAGGAAAAACGGCTTTTAGGAAAATGGCAGGAAGAACTGACTGGCGCGTAGGGGCATTTACGGAATCCCAATTATGAGCAGATTCATAACAGCGTAATCAAAACGTCCTCATGCGCTCTGCACACGTTGAGCATGGCAGGCACTGCCAGCCAGCTTCGATGCTTCGTCTGCAGCCTCGTGTCTGCACTCTGCAGCGGGCTGCACCACGTCTGACAAATGAAACCTCCAAGGAGGAGTCTATCCTGAGTTCCTCTGTTCTCTATAAAACTAGACTACGGCTAAACAGCTGCACCCTAGACTGGCAAATCTGAACAGGCAGGAGCACTACCTCCTGTGTAAATAAAAGTCTGTCCCTACTGGACCAGTACTGGTAGAGTGGGCAAACTTGGGCGTAGTGAGATTTTCTCTAGGCTGCAATTTGAGATATCTATGTCATTATGGCATCATTTGGCATCATCTTTTAGGCGAATATTAGTGTCAAAAGAAATGTAGAATGGCGCAGAATTATTTAGTAAATAAAACCGATAACTGGCAGGCGATGGTCCATTTGCTACTTTATCCAGAAGTAACATCTATTTACAAGTATACATGTATCTGTCCTGTTGACGTACAGATACTGTACTGAAGCACAAAGGATGGCGGTAATTTGCGAAATCACCTGCCAAAAAAAGCTTACCTACAAGGTACAGGTGCATTACATACTGGCACTGCTGAACACGTCTACGACATCTTTATTCTTTTATTTCGAAAAAAACTCTTGCTTTTTTGCAGCCTATTCCAACAGTTCCTACAGCGAAGTCAATCGGTCCAAAGAAAATGCTACGCGTCTAAACTCGAGGTCTTGCACAGAGCAAAAAATTTTAAAGGGACAGAAAAATACTCAAGCACCATCAACCCGTGCAGAAAATGGTAAAATGGTTCGCAAATCATTGCACACATCAACAAAAAACGGAATGATACTGTACTCGCGATGTAAAAATGAGCCGGCCATCAAAAACATGGAACTGAAAGCAAGAGATCTGTACACAATGATATTCTACAAAAAAAGCCTTTTCCCTCGGAAACCACCCATCAAACAAAACCGCTACAACTGTCGGTGTTCCCCGTTAAACCATCTCGACGTCGGAATCCTGGTCGGCCGCCTGCAGATCCAGCTCAGCGATGGTTCTCCGAATGGCCTTCATGTACTGCCGCTTTCGTTCGGGGCGGAGCGTGTTCAGCATGGCCGTGACGTATTGCCCTAAATCATACAAATATATGTCTCAAAACGGTCGCACTGTGGTTACTCCGAGATTTCCTTATGTAGAAAATCTCGGACTTACTTCACAATTTGCCTAATACTGATACTTACAATTTACACATCGACGCGGCTTAATTTAACCGCAAATGGCTTAATTCCACAAATCCTTAAGCATAAAAATCTGTATTTTATATTGGCCTGCAATCTCATTTCCAGTTAGAGTCATTATTGCCAGACGTAAACTAAACCCGATAAATCGTAACCGCTGGTTATCAAATACTATTACGAAATAATTAGCGAATAAATGACAAAATAAAAAAGTAGAAAAAATATTTTTATCTGTTTTAAATACTATTACCGGATCATGATTTTATTTTTGATTATTTCTAATACTTATGATTATTTTTTGTAATACTGCTTAACATTATTTATTTATTTTCATATGATTTGCAGTTATTTGAGGTTTAACACGCAATTCGCTATCCCCTTACCAAACTTTTCTCCGGCTTCCACCCCAACGGTCCCCATGAAACCGCTATTTTCCAGCATATTCGGGTATGGCACAGCGACCTTCGGGAATGGTAGAGCAATCCCAGGATGTGGAGATTTTGCGGGAGGAGGAGGCGATGAGGCCACCCGTGGCACCCGGAGAGCGGGCGGAAAGGATTTGGGCGCTGCTGTTGAAGCACGCGGAGCCGGTGCCTTTTCGCTCTTCTTGGCACTTCCGGTGCCGGTGAATCGTCCAGTCCGATCCCGTTCACCTAATCCGTTCACGGTCTTCTTTGCCATTAACTGCGCCAGTATCGGCTTCTTCGCCTTTTCCTTCGTCGCCGTCGGCTTCTTCGCCTTTCCCTTCATCGCCGTCGGCCTCTTCTTCTTCTTCACGCTTTTGTTGACCGTCTTCTTCTTGACAATGCCGTTCATGCTCACGGCGCTCATCGCCCGTTGATTGCCGCCTACAGCAGAACACTTGATGAAAACGAGAAGAAATACAGGAAAATTTTAAAACCTTTTCCAAGCCACCCAGTAAATCAAGTCGGTCAACAGGGAGTGCTTAAGCACGTACCGTACTACCGCCTCTTTATTAATCAGTCAATAAATAAAATTTTCTTTAGGAGTTTTTACTGCCATTAAATTTCTTAACAGCAGCGCCTGACAAGGTCTTCAACATAGACGAAATTACTAATCATCCATTCGGTAAATGTGTAATTTTTGCAAGTAAAACGCTGAACGTGACAGACCATAAGGCGTAATTAAGTATTAAAACAGAAATTCATTTACTGAACGAAATACGGGCAGTGTTACAAACTGTTATTAGTTTTTACTGTAATTACATTCCGAAAAATTTTATTATTTTGTATTTAAAAATTCCGAGAACTGCAGGAATGACTTGGGGCTGCAGACTGCAGTAAGACGATTAATTAGTCCTGCTAGTATATGATAGAATAAAAAGTCAAACTGAGCAAAAAAATTCCAAAAAATGAACATCACAACAGTTAGCGGTAACTGATTTTTCGACGCTGGTTCGAAAACTTTCAAAATTTAATTAGGAATCTAAAAGATTACGATTCAAGTGCAAACAAGAAATTTACAATACAATGAGGTTGAAGATTACAGAAAAATAAAGTGCCGAATGATAAGCATACGGCTAGGAGTACACTGTAAGGAAAAATCACACCAGGAACCGAGAACTCCGCCACGAACCTGTCTTGGATTTGCCGTTGGAGGCCGCGGGCTTGATGATAGGCTCGGGCTCCGGGTACTCCCATTCCTTCTCCAGGCTGTCCCCCGGATGCACGCTCTTTTCGGACGGCTTCTCAGGCGTCTGCCGCTCGTTCTCCTCCGTCTCCACCACGCTGGGGGCGACGGGGACTCTTCGATGTGCACCGCTGGTTCACTGTGCTCCTGCTCGTTCTGCTCGATGTGCTCCACGGGCTCGTGACTGTGGTGCGTGTGCAGGGTGGCCAGCTCGTCGCTCATCTCCAACCGGGCGTTACAGCGCTCCTTCAGACGGCAACGCCAACGGTTGTCTTTCCCGTGGACCCGCAGGTATTCGTACCCTTCCAGCGTCAGCAGCTCGCCACCGCGCTTATTTTTCGAATACACGGGCACCGACATGTTGACCCGATTACCGTGGTATATGGTAAAATGACTGGTAGGAAATAGTGCTAGGGGTGTGAAGGGAAGCGACGCAAAAAATTAAAAACCTTGAACTGTGTACAAACCAGATGAAAACTAAAAAACCAGGTACAAACGAATGCTGCTTTCAGAATTTTTTAGGCCGTCGAACATTCCTGCTCGTGCAGCGAGTAACAGTGAGTCCGCGACTCACGATATGTCGGTGCAACCGTCACCTGTAGGCGGTTAATAGGCACTTCAAAATTCAAATCCGCCTTTTCCAGGACAAAGCGTGTGGCTGTGCCTCATCTCAGTATAATATGGTGTGAAAATTAAGCCATATCTTTACGAAATCTGTGATGGCAGTGGCCAGTGTGCCACTGATACCGGTATCTGATTCTTCAAAGAAATTCTCTACTAATTCTATACTATGACAGTTATCCGAAAAAATTGCGCTTCTGTACTACTCTACTTTATTGTTCCGCATTTCTACATTCGGTATGGACTATCAGACTATGGCAATGGTTTACATTCCGTGGCGTACAATTTCGAACAAGACCCTTCCTCATGGCAATGTTTCTTCAGCAGCCGTTAAATATAATAAATATTGTATAAAAAACTGTTTAAATAAATCAAAAAGTTAATACAAAAATGAAATAAATTAAAAGTTAATACGAAAACGTTGTGCAACATAGTGACATAAGGGAGATTCTGGTGTAGATAAACGTGCATAACCCTTAAAACAAATCCGCGCACTGTACAATCACAATTCTTTCGCGAGCATCTACAGCGGGACATTCTGCGGATCCATATCGGGATGCTTCTCTTTGACGTGATTCATCAGTGTACTCCGTCGCATGTAACCCAGCTGGCATTCGTGGCATTTGTAGGGGAAATCCTCGAAGGCCAATTTCTTCCGGGGATCCTTGTACGCCTCCACCAATCCTTTTTGCTCCTTCTGCTTCCGCTTATTGAGGTAGTCCTTCTTGTATTCTTTAAGATTCCCCTCGTGCACCCATCGCACATGCGCTCGAAGATAGCGCACAGCATGGAAGCGTTTCCCGCACTGGGTGCATGCGTGCCGGTAATCCTTATTATGCGACTGCATGTGCAACTTCAAGCGCACTCTATTCCGGCACACGACCTGGCATACTTCGCAGACCAACACGCTCTTGACGTCGTGTTGCCGCTGGTAATGTACCCGGAACGTCTTGAACAGGGGGAATGTCCGCGCGCACATGGGACATGGAAAGACGCCGTCTTTCTGATGCGTTTGAAGGTGGCCACTGAGCGCACGGCTACTATCGAACTGCAGGGCGCAGTATACGCATTTATGTTTGTTATGAATCTGCAAAAGACGGGGAAATTATTCCCGACACAAGACGCGATTTTGACTGTACTGTAAATCAGGAACGATTAATTACGCAACACAGCAGGCGCGCAGCAAAACATACCACGCTAAACTGTTCATGTACCCAGCACACCAATGACCTTACCCGCATATGGGCGTCCAAGTGAATCTTGGAATGGAACTTCATTTGGCACTGCTGGCAGTCAAACTGCCAATCTTTAGAGACAATTTCCCGGTATTCCGGGTGATTCTTTTTATAATGTACCGGCAATACAAAGACCTGATCGGGACAGAAAAGACACTGCTTCCTCTCCCTGGGGACCAATCGCGTGATCCGCCGTGTGCACCGCTAATTCGGCGAAACTGGCTCCCTTGAAATCACAAACTGGACATGTTCGTTCTGGCCGCGCTTGATAATCTTCCAGTACTCGGTGTGACAATTCGTGAATATCCAATAACGATTTATTAGGAAAATATTTATTGCAGCTTGCACAGAAGTACGATAGCCATCCTGTCTTCTGCATGTATTCAATGGCCACTTGACGTGCTTCCGCGGTTGGCTCCGCTCCACGTAGTGCCGGATGATGCTATGCAGATAAAAACCATAAACATAAGTATTAATTTACACAGTATATAAACGACAAAGCAGCAGTATGATGATGAATAACAGTAGGATGAATAATAGAAATACCTCCAAAAATAAATAAGCTCCAACAAACAAATAACTAAATAAAAACAGTTAAATTTGGTTGTGTACTGCTGCAACCATAGTACTCATACCGTTGTCATATGGATGCGTAAAACTTGCATCGACTGATACCGCATTCCACACGTTCCGCAAGCATGCTTCAAATTAGCGGATGCATATTCTGGATGTTCTTGGTTTAAATGTGCGACTAATCTGCACAATACACGGTGGCACACCGGGCACTCATCTTTTTGTTCCTTTGTCTCTTAGGTTTTCCCTTGGATACAGAGTCCTGCCCGTCTGACGCTCTGTCTGCTGTTTGCGAGGGTTCAAAGTCGGCTGTAAAATCAAATTCCCGGTCATCGCAAAGTAACAGAGAGCGATCCACGAAAGTGATCGCAGCTCATAAAAAAATCTGGCTAAATCCAAAAAAATAATGAATCAAATTACTAGCAATTTATCTGTTTCGGTAAGGCGCATTTTAACACACAGTCATTTAGAACAGCATCACTTACCATTTCCGCTTGGCGCTTCATTTGATTGAGACCGCGCCATTCGCGATGCCTTCGCTTTCTTGGTGATTGCGTTAGTAATCCGCCCAGATTTTTGTTCGGCATCCATATCACAGCCATCTTCATCAGATTCTGCAGAATGAAAAGCAAATTTTCACTGCCATAACACTGACTGCATACACGACAACGTTAGCTTACCATTTTCATCTGACATTTCACCGTTTTCCGGTGACCAATCCGAATCGCTTTCAACATCCATATAATATCTCCCCGTAAACACTGCTTTGTCGCTACACGTATCAACAGGTGGCATAGCGAGCGTTTCCACAGGTGGAAGGACTGCTTTGACCCCTGACCGGAGAGTGCTTTTTCTCGAAACCGTCTCCGCGCTTATTATCGGCTCTTTGCGGCAACTGTCACTGGTCAACTCGGCTTTTTTCAAAGTGGGATGGTACTCGATCTCAGGAGAATCTTCGCGCAGCGTATTTGCCTTAACCGGTGGTACGCTCCCGTTAATAGCCGGCGGCGAAGGTGGCGCATTCACATCGTCGTCCATTCGCAAATCTGCGGATTCCTGGGTAGAAGAAGGGAAAGCGCAGTGGCGGATATATCTGCCAGGCATCTTCTTTTGACCGGTTGTCGAACGCTGTCATCTCTATCCGGGATATGCGCAGCTAATGCTCTGCTGGGCAGTGTGTGGGGAGAGTTTTGAAAATTCGGAAGACTGCTCTCGTTATTTCCAGTCATAATAGGAGCCTGTAATGAATCGCTATCCCAGTCAGCAGGGATAATGTTCGAACAAGGTTCCAGTGGCGTTTTAGGTGGATCCAGAGGTGGAGGATGCTCAGTGTGCTTGGCAGACCCGATAGCTGCAAATACGATAGACTTTATTCATAAAACATATTTGCTGGTACTCTGTGATGTTAAGTACACCGTACATGTAAACATGCAATACTACTAGAACAGAAATAAAGAATATATGTTTTCAAACACTCGCATCGTGCATAACATTATGAATGCATCAAAGTATTGAAAAGTCTCCCAGCGATGGTACACTACCACATAGTGACACATACTAATTAAATTTCAACGCTAAAAAATTAGTACACTGGTAATTAATTCGCCAGTATTTAACACACTAACCTGTCACACAACACCTTTCGGTTTCGAGTCTCCAGCTCAGCGTATTCGCGCGTTCAATTATTGCGGCATACTTTACGGAAAGGCAGACTTTCAGTTCTTCGCCGGGCAGAATGGTCCTTAAGCTGACGAAGACTATTTGCGATGCGCGTAGATAGACGGCCAGATTCTCCTCCGCCAGATTCTCCGCGAAACGCACGTAGCGCATCCAGTTGGAGAAGAGCTCCGAGTCCAGCTGGAAGAAACGCAGCTGGCCGTCGTCCGGGCTGGGAAATGCATAAACGCAGGTATCGCTGTATTTCTCGGCCAGCGGAGCCACCAAGGGACCGAAAACGGTATGAGGCGGGATGCGAGCATTCGCTACCACTTTCTTTCCTGCAAAAGACGTGGTGTTGCACATTGCACGCCCACCATCACTTAATCCATCAAGCAGTTCTCCAAATGTCTGGAAATGTTTCCTGATTCATTTAGTTTTATTTTATTCAGAAAAACCCGATACCCGTCAAAAATGCTTGCGCTGAAAACTAACTTTAATGATACAAATTTAAATACTCTATTTACTTATTTATACTACCAAATTTACTGCACACACCACAAAAAGGACGTAAAGTCTGTAGTAAAAAAATATTAAAAGTACAACTGCGCGAAAAATAGGAAAAAAAGTACAATATCATGTTATACACAATTGAACATAATTGAATATTGTATAATACAGACTGTACAGTGTATTAATAAAGTACAGATAGATCGGTAAGAGCGAAATAGACACGTAAGGCGGAAAATAAAACTGACACGCGATATAAATTTGTGAGGGTGGAGAGAAAGGAAATCTCAAATTATTCGATTTAAATATAATTTGTTCAATAACAATGCTGCGGAATGCACTTTATGAGGAGAGAACATTGGAGAACAGAATCGGGACCCACCTGTAGATGAATTAGGACAAACATCCAGCCGCAAGATTTTAGGCAGACTGGCCAGTGCGAAGGGAACCACGCTCTCGTTGGAAACGCTTTTGGCATGGAACCAACAGGGCTCCTCCGAGAATCGCTGGCAAGCAGCACAAACTAAAGGGAATATGCAAAGAAACCCTTCGTCACAACATCAGATAATCGTCATACATTCTGCGACGAGGTTTTCAGCAGCATACAGAGCCGTTCTTGTCGATGGCGTATCCAACTGTCATGCGATCCTTCCGATGAAATTAGCCGATTGTGGAGATCCTGCAACGGGGGATCCTGGCTTGGAATGAGCAATTCGTTATCCGATCCAGGCAAAAAGAAGATGAGTTCCATCGCTTCCAAGATTAGGCACGGAATATGTGGCTACAACGGCCGATAACTCTTTTGACAACCGCGTACCTTCCCCGAACGCTCGAAACGTCACCGAAATCTATAACATTTCGTGGGAAATAGCTAACAAGTCCGATTTAGAAAACTGGAACTCATAACGCAAACATACGGTAATTTACAAATGTTTGTTTGTTTGGAATTTTGCAGTTTGTGAGATTGAAACATTTGCAGATGCATACGCCGACTGCCACCTCGAAGGTGTGAATGCTATCCACACGTAAACAGCTGACTGCCTAAACCGCGTAAGGCAAAAATCTTTGACTTTTTGCATTTGCATGATTTGTACGAGTAGTATCGGTTGTGTAGCTTAATCCCAAAGTTAAGATAATATTCTCAAGCAGAGTTTAATTTAGCTGTTGAGCCTGTTGTTAAAGGAAACGCTACGGCTGTTTTAAGCACATTACAGTACCTTTTAACCCTAGAGTGGACAGAGATTTTGGTTGTTTTTTTAATGTTTAAATTTTAACTGTGAAGTAGTGTGTCAGCGCTTGCAATATTATTATTCGGGTGGCTATTGCCCAATAAATCATTAAGATAATACATGTATGTATATTCGTAATCATATAATTATTATCATTCAAAAATTTACAATTTTTTATTTCGGTCAATTCAAGCTTTTGTACCAGAAAGTAGGTAATGAAGTACCATACGTAAAGGTAAAGGATACAGTTATGCTGTATGCGCTGTTGCCAAACATACTCAAAAATATCTGCTACGGCAAAGTGTTCAGCAAAAAATTTGCCGAAGGTTGTGGAAGACAGTATTCACAGTATAAAATGCATGACAAAATAAATACAGTTTGACATGCGCAAAACTGTAAGAGTTTGAGCAAACTGGCCCGCCTCATTTCACACAAATATCCAAGAAGCCTTTAACTGTCTAAAAAAGGCAAATCGTCTGCAAGCATCTCTGGAGATCCATAATCGGGTTGATTATTGCGCTCATTGAGCCCTTCTTGTGATCTTTCAGATTCCTTCGTCGATCCATCGCAGAACGTCTCGACGGTATCCGCCGAAGCGTTGTCCGCCTGCAGTGCAAGCAAACCGCCAGTCTTACGGCTGCGTATTTTCATATGCATCTGCATGTGCGCATTCAGTCGATTTCTGTTCCGGTAGGTGACTTGGCAGATTTCGCAGACAAAAACGCTGCTGACGACGTGGTTGGTGTGATAATGTGACTGAAATGACCTGTACAGAGGGTACGTCCGCGGGCACAAGGGGCAGGGGAAGGCGCCGTCTTTCTGATGCGTCAGGTTGTGCTGACCAAGTGCCACGGGAGACTCGAACTGTCGAGTGTCGAGCGCAATAAATGCAGCTATATCTCTTATCATGCGTCTGCAATAAAACACAAATCCGGAAGTTAATTCACGATTTTCATGGATGGATCACTAAATTATAAATCTTGCAGGTCTGGTGTTGCAAATGCGACAATTCCTCTTTACCTTATAATAAAGTTTACCAATGTAAACCATCTTGCACCACCATATCAATGACCGTACCCGCAAATGTCCATCCAGACGATGCTTTGAATGGCATTTAATCCCGCACTGCTGGCACTCAAACTGCCAATCTTTGGAGACAATTTCCCGGTACTCCGGGTGATTCTTTTTATAATGTACCGACAATACAAAGACCTGATCGGGACAAAGAAGACACTGCTTCCTACCCCGGACATCAACCGCGTGATCCGCCGTGTGTACCGCCAATTCAGCGAAACTGGATCCCGTAAAACCACAAACTGGACAGTTTCGCTCCGGCCGCCATTGATGTTCTTCCCGGACTCGGTGGGACAATCCATGGATACCCAATAACGATTTATCCAGGAAATATTTTTTGCAGCTTGCACAGAAATACGACAGCCATCCTGTCTTCTGCATATATTCGATGGCCACTTGACGCGCTTCCGCGGTTGTCTCCGCTCCACGTGGTGTCGGATGGTACTGTGAATAACATATATGAAAGAGGATAATATCGTTTGATACACTCCTAAATACTACTGAAAAGGCGCAGTATGAAAATTAAGAAAAGGTAAATAAAACAACCAACTGATAACTACAAGAAACAAAAAACTTGTTTAAATTCGGTTTCTAAACCCGGTTAGTCATACCGTTGACATATGGGTGCGTAAAACGTGCATCGACTGATATCGCATTCCACACGTTTCGCACGCATGCTTCAAATTCTTGGACGCATATTCCGGATGTTTTTGCTTTAAATGGGCGTTTATTCTGTAGATAGTACGGTGGCACACCGGGCACTCTTCTTTTCGTGGCTTCCCTCTCTTCCGTGGCGCCCTGGATTCACATCTCTCCCGCCTGTAACGCCGTCTCCACCTCCACTTCCAGAGCCACCTGCAAAACGATCGCTTCACGTCATCGATGGGCAGACCAGAGCTGCCAACTGGATTGCATTGGTCGCATCTCTCACGATATAAGTCCGTCTTTGTCGACAAAAATTACTAGTGATATCTGTTTCCATAATTCGTAGTAAATCGCAATTATGTACGGTTTGACCCCATTATTCACCATTACCGTCGGGCGGACCATTTGAACGAAACGGCGCCATTCTCCCAGATTTCGCTTTCCTGGTAGCTTGGTCTTTAATCCGCCCAGAATTTTGTTCAGCGTTCATATCACAGTCGTCATCATCAGAGTCTGCAGCATCAGCAATACTTTTTACTACCACAATATCACCTACACTACTGACTCACTGCTTACCATTTCCATCACACGTTTCATCGTTTTCCGGTGACCAGTCCGAATCCGTTTCCACGTGAAATCTCCCAGTCAGCCCTCCTTCGTTATCGTCACACGTATCCACGATCACCGGAACGACTTCCTTGGCGGCAGATCGGAGGGTGCTTCTTCTCAGCACCGTTTCCGTGCTCGCTTTCGGCTCTTCTTTGCTACACCATTCGTTGGGTGTTTTCACTATGGAATGGTACTCGATCTCGGGAGAATCTTCGCGTATCACCCTGGTTTTCACCGATGGCAAGCTCCCGCTACCAGTCAGTGACAAGGATGACGCATTCCCATAGTCGTCCATCTGCAAATCTGCAGATTCCTGGCTTGCCAGTGGAGACGCCACAGTCGCGGTTGTATCTGCCGGACATCTGCGTTTCGAAGGCGGTGTAACACTGTCCCCTTCGTCAACATTGTGCACAGTTAGCGGTGTGATGAGCAGTGCGTACGGAAAGGCTTGCAAAGCCGGAAGAGCACTTCCGTCCTTTTCAGTCAGCAGCGTCCTGGATGAATCGCTATCCCAATCACCAGCGCTATTTGGTGTTTGAGGGGGATTTTGCGGTAGGATGTTCTCACTGTGCTCGGCAAATTCCAGAGCTGCAAAACACAATAGGCATTATTTGCAAACCAAATACTGGCGGACACAAGAACCATGAAGCGATGCACTACAGTATATTGCATAGCACATTGCACTTGTCATTCTACCGCACAAACAGGTAGGACATTAATAAAAGAAGAATATACGAGTAAAAATTTAAACGTTTTTTTAACGTTTAAATTCGATCATTTTTATTAGTGTAAATCGGCGCAGGCATTTTGTTATGTATACTGGCTGTTGTCGAAATAAAAGACCACCATATACGAGTAAATATACTACTTTCACCATAGACGATAACACTACTCACTAATACGATAACAACAAATACACGATAACACTGTTCAAAAATTACGCGTTTCCAGAATTAAAAACGTAGAAAATTATTGAGTATTGAGTATTTACTTTGCTAAGTACAGGAAAAACCTTTTGATATTACCGTTACCGGTATCTTGATGGTGCTTATTTTTAAATAATACTTAACACGCTGACCTGTCATACAAAAACTCTCATTTCCTGCTCTTCCACTCTGCCCATCCGAGCGTCCAATGAATTGGGCGTATTTAGCAGAGTAGCAGACTTTGAGTTCTTCGCCGGGCAGAATGTTCCTAACGCTGACGAAGACTATTTGCGATCCGCGGAGATAAACGGCCAGATTCTCCTCCGCCAAATTCTCCGCGAAACGCACGTAGCGCATCCAGTTGGAGAAGAGCTCCGAGTCCAGCTGGAAGAAACGCAACTGACCGTCTTCCGCGCTGCGAAATGCATAAACACAGGTATCGCTGTATTTCTCCGTAAGGGGAGCCACCAAGGGACCAAAAACGGTCTGAGGCGGGATTCGAGCATTCGCTACCACTTTCTTCCCTGCAAACAGATAGGGAAATGCATATGGCGCGTCTCACTTTGCTCCATCTACCATTTGTCAAAATATCCACCATTTTGTTATGGTTTACACTGTATTCGAGTTTATTGCACACCAGCACATAACACCATTATAAATTATTTAATCTAATGGAGTGCAGTACTTTAACGAAATACGCCGGACAAGTCGATTAAGAAATAAAAAGACAGAAAATACGAAATAAGAAACGTAACGCGAAAACCAGCATGTGAAAAAAAGAAGTGCCAGTGGAGAAAAGTAAACCATGAATCAGTTTATTTAACTGATTGAGTAACAACGAGTATGCGATTGCACGGACCAACCCAACCTGTGGAGGAATTAGCGCAAACATCGAGGTGCAAGATTTTATGCAGACTGGCCAGTGCGAAGGGAACCACGCTCTCGTTGGGAACGCTTTTGGCATGGAACCAACACGGCTCCTCCAGAAACTGCTGACACACACGGCAAACTGCAAGGGACCACAAGTCGTCTGGTTGCAGAAGCAAATTGCTGCACTGGCAGCAACCTACAGAGCCGTTCCTGTCGGTGACGTATCCCGCTGCCATACGATCCCGGCGGCACAGTTAGCAGGTTGGGGAGATCTGGCAACTGTGAATCCTGGCGCGGATCGAGCGATTCGCTATCGACCGTTCCAGGCAAACAGCAGTCGACTTCCATGATGGCGCAGACGCGGAATATTTGGCTAAGCCAGATAAAACTGACAACGAAACTATCAGCATTCAATAATTTGCTTGCTTATTCCCAATGCGGGAAAAGCCAGTAAAAAAATTTCGTGGAGTCAGTTTATACACTAACACAAAATTAAATTCTTGTGATCTTGTCACTTGTGAGTTTCAGTTTCTTGACAGTTTGCGAGCTCAAAGATTGTGCAAATGCATGATGAACTGCCACCTCGAAGATGGGAGCAATCAGTACTAGCAAGCAAGCAGCTTCTGTACTCGTACTCGTATTCATCTTCGATAAATTATTTTTTTCATTTCAGTCTTTTTGTAACAGAAAGTAAGTGCATGAAGAATTCTTGTTAAACGATAGAATCATGCTTCATTACTGTAGATGCTATTGTTGAAGCTGTTGCCAAAATTCGCATAAAGGTGCTTAATATAACAGCACGATGAGTACGTGTTATGACAAAGAGGTATCGAACAAAAAATTTGCCGCAGCTGGTCAGTGGTCGTAGTTAAATTGCATCTGGTAAAAAATAAAATCTATGCGCCCGGTTTGTCGGGGCGCATAGCAGTCACCTAAATAAATGATACAGCACACGCTGTGCTAAAGCATTTAATTCAGATCAGTGGTACAAAAGTCCCAATTTTTTTATCAAAGTAAAGATGATTATATAGACACAGTTATCAGCCGACAGCAGAAACGGATGGCCTTATTATGCTGCGCTTATTAAGTCCTTGTAATCTTTCAGATTCCCTCCGGGGACCCATCGCCCATGACCTCGAAGGTATCGCCCGACAGAACAGCGTTTCCCGTCTTCGAATCGTGCATTTCCTTGGGACAGGGAAAGGCGCCGTCTTTCTGATGCGTCAGGTTGTGTTTACCAAGCGCAATGGGAGTCTCGAACTGCTGAGTGCAGAACAGACAGTTATACATTTTATCATGTGTCTGCAAACAAAACACGAATCGGAAAAAATTAATTTGCACAAAAGACGAACGCGGAGTTCATGAAAATTAAAACGGATATCTGCAATTACTGATGTTGCAACTGGCAACACAGTAAATTCGATGACTACCGCAGCACTTACCACGTTAAACCATAGTCTATGACCTTACCAGCAAATGTTCGTTCAGATGATGCTTCGAATGGCATTTCATTCCACACTTCGGACACTGAAACTGCCCGTTCCTACCGACAATTTCCCGGTACTCTGGATGATTCTTTTATAATGGGTTGGTAAAGTCAAGACTTGATCGGGGCAGAGCAGGCACTGCTTTCTCGCCTTCGCGCTAACCGCGTGCTCCGCCGTGTGCAGCGCCAATTCGGCGAAACTGGCTCCCGTGAAATCGCAAACGGGACAGCTTCGTTCTGGACGCCCTTGATGATCTCGCAGTACGCGGTGCGACAGTTCATGGATGTCCAACACAGATTTCTTCAGAAAATACTTACTGCAGCTGGCACAAAAATACGACAGCCGTCCTGTTTTTTGCATGTAATCGATGGCCGCTTGACGCGCTTCCGCGGGTAATTCCGCTCGAGGTGGTGCTGGATGATTCTGTTAGTATTATAAGAATCCGTCAGTGTGATAAATACTGTCATAATATAAGTATTATAAATCAGGACAACGTTTGACACACACCTATAAAATACTGCTGTAACGGCAAAAAACAACCAACTAACAGAATAATTACAGAAAATGATTGTAACAGTTTAAATTCGGGAGTGCACTGCTGCAGCCGTTATAATCATACCTTCGTAATATGGATGTGTAAGCACCGCACCGACGGAAACCGACTTCCACAGGTTTCGCAAGCATGCTTAAAATTCTCAGATGCATATCCTGGATGTTCTTTCCTTAGATGCCCGTATACCTTGAATACCACACGGTGACACACCGGGCACTCCTTTTTTTGTTCCTTCGCACGCATCCGTCGCGCTCCGGATTGACCACTTTGCCCGCCTGCAAACCCACTTCGAGAGAAGCCTGCAAAACAACCCCTTTCACGCCATCGACCAGTAAGTACAAAAGAGAATCCAACTGGACTGATGGATCGCAGTTCTCACGATAAAAACTCATTTTTACAGGCAAAGATCACTGGTTAAATAAATGTGTTCCGT